AAGTTGATACTGGTTATTTTTTAATATTTTGCTTTGTTTGAAAGATTCGAATTTAAATCAGTGATAAAAAAAACTATACACGTTGTAATGAAATATAGATAACTTCGTAATTATTCGGATTTACGTAAAGAAGTTATTTTAAATTGAGTGAGTACGCTTGTGCAAAGTTATTGTGGAATGATTAATGTGAAATGTCAAAAGGTCTTTCTTAGATTTGGTTGACTAGTCCTCAGAGGTGACCTGCGTTTTGATTCTTAATCGAGGATAAATGTCGATGTATATGGGCTGCAGCAACCACTTACCATCAGGTGGACTGTGCGCTCATTTGTCACTCTGAATCTATAAAAAAAACTCATTCCATCATCATCTGGCGAGCAGAAAATTAATAACCTTCAATCCTTAAAATAAGTGTAAATGTAAATACCCTCTTTAATATGCAAAAAAATATATTTCATCATAGAACATAGATATATAAAGTAATAAGAAAAGTCATATATATATACCAAAAAACATATATTTTATAATTTTATTATTTACAATAATTCAACTTTTATTTACATATTAACAACAGCAAATGTACCCCCTTCCATAAGGCCGCATCTCACTGTCTGATAGGGAATTATTAAAAATAATAATTGTGTAGTGTTGAAATATCTCGTTTACAAAGTGTATTTCACTTTGTCCAATGACATGATGCGAAATTCTGATTCCACGCGAACTTTCTAATAGACGGAACCAAAATGCAATGGAAGAAAGTCAGCCCAAGTTTACATACAAAAATAATTAACATGAAAGTTTTTAAGATTACAATAATTTTCATATTAACACTGTATATAACTCCGTCCATAGAAACTGCAAGTGGAAAACAAAAAATAAATTTAAATTATTCAACCATACATTTCATCGAAAACATCCGCTCATACTTAACAAGCTACTATGAAACTAATAATATTAATAAATATGAGACGTCTTTCTTCTTTCTCAATTTCGCATTAGACATGTTTATGTACAACAATTATATCAGTCCACAAGTATACAGAGAACCCCTTTTTATGCACTTCATAGTTGGGAAGGTAATTCCCTGTTAAATATACATATTAAGTTTTCACATAAAACATGAATGAAACAATTTTGTTAATAGGGAAATCCCCTTATAACCATGTGTGCTGCAAAGTATTCAAACATCAGGTATCTAAAAATAAGTTAGTTATTTACGAATTATATCCTCGTATATCCTCGATATAATTCGTAAAAAACTAGTTTCATTCAATGTGTAGTGTTCGCGTAAATATAAGAAATCAATAAAACAAAGTATAATGTGCAAAGATTCAACGGTTTGTCATTCCTAGTGTTAATGGCTAAAACTGAATAAAAACCGCAAGTATCACATCAGTTTGATGTGATGACTAAAGGATAACATCTGCCTTGAATAAATACAATTAAATGCATTTTACATTAACATGGGTGTCCATTTTTATTAGGAAGTTCTCAGCAAAGCACAGCATTTTGATGGTTATAGTTTTAGCCTTATAGTAACATTTACCGAACTGTCCATAAATTGAAAAAGATCAAGTAATTGATCATACTTCCATGGCGACAATAAAAAAATTATTTTTCAAATAATTATTGTACAGTTACAAGTGTTAACTCTTATAGATTTTGTGTTACAAATTGTACTAAATGGATTGATAAAAAACAATAATAAACATTTTCTGCTCTTTCAAACTTCTACTTTCATTTTCATTTTCTACATGAAATCCAGTAACAAAATATTTAAGTTATTTTGAAGCCTTTTTTGACATTGACGTAAGCCCAACCGCTAACATAGATACCACGCCACAGTTTTATAGCAGCGACTCACGTATAATGTTGCGAATGTCGCAGTGTACTTGATAGATTACGTTGAAATGCGCGTTTCCAATGGCGTATAAATGTGTTTGAAAAAACGCTGTTCAACTACAATTAAACATCCAGATTTATATTTTATTTGTTTAAGAAACAAATAAATAAATTTTGTAATTTATTATATACCTTGTGCGTTGTGACTTTTTTCAAAACTTTATTTATGTCAATAAGTATAGATCTGGCTGTATTAGGATGCTTAGTCACTAAGCTTTGCTCGATATTTCTCGGTAAGATAATCCACAATAGAACCAGAGTGACCGACATAGCCGAATGGATTAGTAAACTGAAGTGGCAACGGGCCGGCCATATAGCTTGAAGAACCGACAACAGATGGAAAAGAAAGGTTTTCAAATGGCACTGGCGGACGGCCCCTACTAAATAGAGCGACGACCTGGTAAGACATGTGAAAGGTCTATGGATAGACAGGGTAGATCAAGACCTCGTTTAGTGGTATTTCTTGTGGGAGGCCTATGTTTGGCAGTGTATTTGTGAAGGGTTGTTGTAATGAATGTGTGTGCAGTTGAATGTTCCGCAAATATATCCGGAGGCTTGTTCATTATTGTGAATTTACGAGTATTATAATTTTTACATCCCTTATTATTATCATTTGTGGGAACAAACTGTGGCAATGATCTCATTTTGAACAATCATTTTGGAAGACACAAATTTGCTCTAGAAATGTTACACACACATGCTCAAAACTTTATCAATAATATTCAGATGGCGATACAGGGTTATTTTGCAATATACGACCAAATTTGCAGAGAAGTTTCAGAATAAGAAATATAGGCGAATGGTTAAATAAAAAGAAATTAAAGAAAATTTCAAACATTCTGTCCCTTTTTATCTTTTAAATGCAGAATGCGTGGTAATGCATTATTTTAACTGGTTGTCATTAATTAATATCTAGGCCTAATATTTTACTACGCACGCACACATTTGTAAGGGTCGGCAAAAACGTGAATTTAATCGCACACAGAGGAGCGCGCGTACGCGTAGTTATTGCCCATAAATGACATTCAATTTGGAATATGTCAAAAAAATTAGAAGCCTTATTCATCCTTATTCTCAAAAACTGCAATAACGGCATGTCAATATTTATATATTTGAAATTAAGTACAAAATTTGGCTACACTTTGAAAAATAACCTAGTATAATTGAAATATTATATTTGGAAGCCATGTTAAACATAAAACGAAAAATATGACTGTTTATTTTAAATCATTCACTTTGTTCTCCAAAATTATACTTATAGAAAAAGTTTCATTATTTCTTCAATTTTTTAATAAATTATTATATTTGTCAAATTTGAAAATAGGTGCGAAAGAATTCTTTATTATATATTAGTAATATAGATAAGTAGCTCACACACAAGACCAATTTATCTCTTAGCAGGCTTGGGACTAATAATAAATGCATCGATCATACAACATTTACACATACCATTTTAACAAATAGTTAAATCCTGGAGTAGTCACATCATGATATGATTTTTATTGTCAATATTTTTATAGCATCGTTCAATTATATCATGAAAACAAATATCTTTGAAGCATGAAAGTTAAAATTAACATATATCAAGCATCACTCTTATGCAACCCTATCATGTATGCCATGTATAAAAAAAGTTTCTGAACATAAAAAAACAGGTAATAGCTGTAGGAATGTTCTTTTCATGCGTGAAGAGTACTTATATTATTACAGTCGATAAAATAACGTTTGATATACCAGGCGAGATAAACTAGTATTTTTGACCAGGCTGCCCTAGGAGGGTGGTTATCTTTTGGTGTGCGTATTATGAATGTGTATATATTACGTACGTATTATGAATATATATCTGGAGTGCCACAGGTCATAATTTATGGGGATAAAACTTATTTTATTACATTAGTTGTTAATAGATCTCTGCAATTTGTTTCTATTTTAGTAAAGCAAACCAAAGTGATGACTTGCAATAAATCACTACATTTTGTATGTTAAACTTAACTTGATCAACAAAACATCAAATAATTAATAGAAATATTTTATATTGAATATCATAATTTTATAAGTGTTAAGCTTTTACAATTAAACTCAGGTAAATAGCGAAATAAATGTGAAAACGGAAATCAAACTTATATCCATGGCATGGGGATCATAAGTGTTGTGCTTGACATTTGACTATATTTTTTACATTATACATCATCATTTGGCTATAGAGAATACTGTAAATTTGGTGTTTACACCAAAATGTTTGTTTACGCAATTTTTTATAAGCTTGTTTACAATATCCCTTATTTTATTTTTTTATTAAATTACAGCAGCCAATATACAACAGCAACTGCCTACAAATGGTAGTTGCTGACTGGGTTGGAGTTATGGATTTTAATAATATAATGAATAATAAACTATCATAGAAATAAAAGGTCATATACATTATTAATAAACCATTTAAGATCACATACAAAACAAAATCAACTGTATAAAATCATGTCAGTGTTTCTTTATTTATATAGAATAATTTACAATCACTCAGTATCAAGGCACGCTCCTGTTTTTATCATATTTAATTAGCTCGCTCTTTCTCCATTTGCCAGTTAGGTACAAATTTTGCAATAGACTTAATTGATTTCTATTTATAGCTCAGAACTATATGACAATGTACATAAACTTATTTCATGTCCGTCTCTTTGTTTGTTTGTCTGTTCCATAAAACATTGCAACCAATTTTAAACTACTTTCCAATGAGAACTTAAAACTAAAAATAGCTTGGAACTGGGGAACATGGTAAAAAAGGTCACCATTTTGAATTATGATTAATATTAGAGCAGCATAAGAGCAAATCATAACTAATGTTAAACAATGCTTAATCTGCTCTAAATATTAATTTAATAACATGACACTTATACTGAGTAACATAAAATTATTACAAATCCCTGTCAGTTTGGCTTACTTTGCATGAAAGTTTCAGCACATTTCTGTAATACCTGCATATTTTGAAGAAGCCGCTTTGTCTTGTGATTTCAACACAATGTATGAGTGGCATTAACCTGGTCATACACATTTAGTCTTTGTTTGTTGCATCACAGGCACTATGTAATAACTTCACCGGTACACTAAATAATCCTTCTTAAACTGAGTGCTTTTTCATTATTTTTCACTATCACTAGGCACGTCTTCTGTCCTAGGACTGTTCCCCGGTCACTATGTGGTGTTAGTAACGTTTGAGGGTGGGGGGGAATACGGGGGGGAGGCCCGCTCGTCCACTGAATTAACGCATGTTGAGGCAGCTGAGTCGCTTGGAAATGATCCTTTAGGAGAGCTTGTGAAAAGTTGCAGTGCATTTGGTAAGCTTCATTTTCGCGCTCAGTGTCGCCGGCCAGCCGATATAAATCTATAACAAATACACAATATTAAATAGTCATTAAGGTGAGTGTTATAACAAGATTAGGCACCATACTTTTCAATAATTGTTGTAGCTGAACCCTCTGCTCAGATAAAATTGTTGTTCTCACAAATGTATCATGAGTACAACAATTTTATCTGCTCAAATCCGAACTGTTACATTGCGAAGGAATGTTCCCAATCAGTTAGTCACCTCAATACACGTAGCAACTGAAAAATTCAAGATTTAAAAAACAAAAATAAAAATTACTATGGAAATTTTATGGGAATACCAAGATGTCATAGTAGTTTTTAGTTAAATAAAGACATTATTTCATTATTCTTGAAGAATAAAATCAAATTACATAATGTAATGATGTAATTTACTCAGATTTAGATTTAGTTACATTTTAAAGGAGGATTGGAATGGAAGTACGACCAGAGGTACATTTAATATACTGTATGCTTGATTTGAGTTTTTGTACAAAAACTAATATTAAGTAATAAAACTAGAAAAACCCACCTTTCAATATTGCGGAGGCCCACAATTGGACATGAACGTCTGGTATTTTGCTGGCCAGTTGCATCGCTGGTGTCACCATGTTCATACTTTCCCGAGAATTGTTGATTGATAAAAATATATGACCGAGCAACACAAGCGAACAGGAAGTCAGTCTGTTCAGATCTTCCGCATTGGCCATCTTTAGAGTTTCCCGAAGGTATCGTCTGTTGAAAATCCAAATAACTTTTTTATTTTAATAACCATAGAGTACAGTTTTATGCATAAAATTAGAATGATATAAATATGGTTGGGAAAAAAGTTTCTTCGTATTTTGTTTGTATAAAATTGAAGAAAAATCTCTTTGGTTGTACCATTTGTATATCTCTGGCTGATTTTAATATCAATACATATTGAACATAAGAAAAAGAAAATTAAAAAACACTTTCCCGCCACTTTTAAATCGTTTTTCTGTCCACCAAAATGAGTGAATCTAACAAAGAAATTCTATACATTCAGAAATTATATTACAAAAAAGGGAAATATACGATTCAAGCCGCGAAAAAAAATTGTGACGTTTATGGACCTAATGCAGTGTCAGTAAAAGTAGCACGAAGTTGGTTCAAGTGTTTTCAGCCCGGAAATTTTAATGTCGAAGATGCAGCTCGCTCTGGTCGCTCTCATACGCATAAAGTTGATGCCATTTTCGAAAAATTGGAGCATGATCGGCATATTAGTAATTACGCCATAGTCGAAGAATTGAGGACTGACAAAACAGTTTTAACCCATTTAAAAAAAGTCTGGCTATATAAAAATGGTAATTTTGGTACCACACGAGCTCACTGAAAGAAACCTAATGAATTGTGTACTCATTTGCGATTCTTTGTTGAAACGTAATTAAACAGATTCATTTTTGAAGATTAATCACTTGTAGCGCTGTCGTCGCGCCACTAGCACACCGAAACACACCGAAACCTAAATCGTGCTATCAACATTCTGAATCATAAACAGTATATATAGAACAGCTCCGAACTATCACACGGAGTGTTGGCCGCTCCCCGGGCAGAACACCTTGTCCGGCGGGAGATCTCCCCTTTTCCTTCCACGGCCACACACTGATAATGAAACGTGGATTACCTACAACAAGAACGTGCGAAAAAGATCACAGTCACAGTGTAGTCAACCTCCACAGACTAGCGAAACCCGCATTCACATACAATAAGGTGTTGCTGTGAGTATGGTGGGATTGGAAGGTCATCGTTTATTATGAGCTTTCACCACCGAGCAAAAGTATCGATTCAGATCTTTACTGCCAACAAGTAATGAAGACTTAAGCAAAAAATCGAGAAAAAACGGCCGGAATCGATCAAGAGAAAAGCAGTGAACTTTCATCATGATAATGCCAATCCACACACATCTTTGGCCACTCAGCAGAAGTTGAGACAGCTTGGTTAGACAGTTAATGCATCCACCATATATTCCTGACCTTGCACCCTCAGATTTTCACCTGTTTCGGTCTCTTCAGAATTCTCTGGGTAGTTTTAGGTTAACATCAAGAGAGGACTGTCAAAACTACTTGGGATTATATCACTACCTATGGCAACAGGTTATCGAACAAAACGGCACATATATATTATATAATTTATGTAATTTAACTTTGAAAATAAAATGTCTTGAATTTGTATAACATATAAATAATAGTTGCAAATAGAACATAGCCAAAAGCAAATTGTAATCGCTAAAAAAGGTAAACAAACTCTTACACAATGGAAGCTTTTGTAACATTTTTAATTTAAACTTCAATTTAACATAAAATTACATACAATATAGGAATGGATAGATGAGGACATTATCTCACCCCTAATAAATCTAGCGCCTATCAGAAAAAAATATTAAACAACAGTTAAAAGTTGTTAACTATGTAGTGGCGGTGTAAGAATATCCACTAATCACTGACCTCTATATATACAAATACGCTGGACTGGCTATACCAGACGAAATGACTGTGCCAATTTGAAGCGCCGCTAAAGGATGTCTTGAAAAATAAAATTGACATAATATGCCAAAGTCTGTTGTCTAATTTATATTGTCTTATTTCACATTTAAAACTCGTTACCATAAGGGAAGTGGTATAACATTTCACAAGTAAGTGAATTTGCAGCAAATATTAAACAAATTAAAACTATTTGATAATATAAGTACTTAAAAATTTGTTACTTATCTTAATATCATATATACCAACATGTTTGGCTGTATATTACTGAGTTTTGATAAACAATAAAATTCAATAGGGTTGTCGAGTTCCTTGTCTGTAATACTTATCGATGTTCTTTCCTACCCATATGTGTTAACAAAAAAAGTCGCCAACAACGGATGATTATCAAATTTTTATTAATAACCAGATTTCCAATTGAACCTAGACTAAAATTATGGCTTACAAGCATAAATATTATGAATTCGCGTTCGAAACAAAATGATCATATTTGTTCCAAACATTTTACAGACGACTGTTTTATTAGACATGAGAACTGTACCACTTTGAAAAAGTGCAGTATACCGACAATATTTTCTGGTACCAGTACCAGTAAGTATAAAAATATTAGATTATTATTTCGAATGTTTTTTTATTTTTTCTTTCCTCATTTTTACCAAACTCATGGGCCATAGCCAAGTGGCGAAAGATCGCCTGATGATGTCGAGCCACGTTGGATGTGTGTCAGTGGGCTGCGGCTAGAGGAGATTCCTCTCCCTGGACCGCTGTAGTCGAGCTGGAGTCGTAAGGGAAGAGGAGTGTTGGTATGGTGATTGGACTATTTTTCGCGACTTTGGTAAGGCTGCACCACTTGATGCTTCCAAGTGCTCGTTTTTCCCTGGCTCCATTCACATATCGGGCTCGAGGAGTCCGTAGTGCAGCTCGTATCTCTATAAATGTTTCCTCGGTTTAAGATCTTTGTAGAATATTTAGAGACGATACCAGGAGACCCGACGGTATGGGTTTGGTTGCTTTGGTTGCTGGAGAGAGGGAGAGAGAGAGATAAAGCTTTAGTGTGGGATACTACTTGTAAACACTGACAGCATCCCATCTCAGGGATACCTCATCTAAAGCAGGGGTGGCATTAGAGGCAACTTAACCAAGTAAATAGCCCAGAGTATCTGGAAGATAAGTACATACTTGTGCAATTTGCTGTAGAGACTTCCGTAGTTCCTAAAAAACTGTATCTGCGACTGATCATCGCTGCTGGTAATAAGAAATTGTTTAGTTTGTTGTTTTCTCGCTTGAAGGCTAAGTATAGCCATTCAGTGAGGACACGTAGCCAGCATTCTTGGGACAATACCACAGAAAATAGGATTTTACGATAAATTCAGTTATTTTTTTTTAATATTGTAATTTCATTTTCGAAAATAACTGATAACTATGTAATTCAAAGTTTATTTTTTTATATTATCTTGCTAGCTCGTACCCGACGCATTGCCGCCGCAGAAGAAATAATTGTGGAAATATCGTTAAAAATATGGAACAGTTATATTGTATTATAAGGAACGATAATACACTCATTGAATTAGAATGATATATAACTTTCTATAACTTTCAAATAAATAGTCGGTATAATACGCACGCCACTTAGTGTCAGTTAATTGTACCATGCGTATAACCTTCGCACAAGTGCAACCAATAAGTTGACTAAGTTTGACCGCAATCTGATGAACAAAAGTACAAACAAGCATAAATTTTTTATAGTAGAAAATATTTTACTGTCTATAGATAGACCTGTAGTTGATTAGAAGAGGCGTTATTATAGCAGCTGATTTGTTTTTATAATACCAGAACTAAATGAACGGTTGACAAAAAATTATTTTAGAAATTATGTTTTTATTTTTATTTTGTGTAGTTAGTTTAATCTGAATAATTTTTAGTTGAATGGTCTAAGGGCTACGATGGCTATCCAAGTACAGAACCGGAGTTTGAACCTATCCAACCGCAGAGAGGTGTAACCCGCAAAACCGCAGGGTGACGTTATATCCGTCTCTTCACTGCTGCATTGAAAAGACGTTTTCAAGCTACTGGACTAGAAAGGATACGATATTACCGTCAAAGGCGTGTATGTCACTCACGTTCGATTTGCCGACAGTATAGTCCTTAAGGCAGAATCGCTGGAGAACCTACGCACTATTTTCAATGACCTCAATCGTGTCTCCCAATGCATAGGTCTTAAGATGAACATGGACAAAACAAAAGTCATGTGTAATGTCCATGTCACACCTATGCCGGTGGTTTTTGGGAGCACTTAGCTGAAGTTGTTGACGAGTATTTTTACTTGGGACAAATAGCCCGACTAGGTAAGTTCAACTTCGAACGACAGGTCAATCGATGAATTCAAATCGGCTGGGCAGCGTTCAGGAGATTACAACACATCTTCTCGTCAGGAATACCTCAAAACTAGATTGTACAACCAGTGCGTGTTGCCAGTGATGACCTATGGATCTGAGACCAGGCCTTTCATGGCTGTATGAAGAAGCTCGAAGTCGCTCAGTGAGCTATGAAGGGGGCTATGCTCAGGGGTTCAAACTTAGGAATGTGGATATCTGCAGCAGAACCAGAGTGACCGACATCGCCCAATGGATTAGTAAGCTGAAGTGGCAATTGACCGGCCATATGGCTTGAAGAACCGAATAACGATGGGGAAAAAATGTTCTCGATTGGCAGCCTCGTACCGGCAGGTGAAGTGTAGGACGTTCCACTAGATGGAGTCAAAACTCGTAAGACATGCAGGAAGTTGATGGATGCAGGTAGCTCAGGGCCGTGCTTTGTGGCATTCCTTGGGAGAGGCCTATCTTCAGCAGTGGACTTGTGAAGGGTTTTGATGATGATGAATGATAATGGCATTATATTAATATGATACATTAATAGAATGGACGTTACGGGTAGAGTCCATCTATCCATAGAGTCCATTCTATTTATTTAGTTATAGGTAGGGTATAGAATTTTTATCGATATAATTTGGTACATTGTCTTATCCCTATTATTAGTTCCGTGGACGTGCACTTCTGCTGTCAGCGCCAAAATGGCGGAAATCAAATCGCTTCAGCATGTCACGGTGTATAGCCAGTCCAGCGTACTTGTATATATAGAGGTCAGTGCCACTACCCCATATCATCCGGTGGGTGTCATAAGAGGCGACAGAGGGAAACGAATCAGGAGATGGGCAGCAGCATTTTCCTAATAACTAACGCCTATAAATAAAAAAAGACTGCGGTTGCTAACCGGCTTGCCAAGCGTGCCAACTAGGGTATGTATCTCCCCTATGAAGGGTCCGGCAGTCTATGGGGGAGGCAGAGGAGAGGAGACAGTCTATGTTCAACAGTGAACTTTAGTAGGCTGTAACAGTAACGGTAAAAGTTGTATCAAGTGATAAAGTCGCTTACAGCTCTTCGATATAAAAACCTTGATATAAAAAATTGCTTTTACTGAATATGGCCGTAAAATTTGAAAGGGAAATTAAAAATCTCGAAAATATATAGCTACATGACTTACTTGGCTTCATTATACCGCGCCTGGAAAAAAGCCTGTAGTCCCAGTACGTAATACGAAGCCGCTCGTAATCCATGCGCGTATGCGGGCAGTGCTTCTGGTCTCACCTAATTCAAACAAAAAAAATGTTAAATCAAAAGTACATTGCAGTGGGCTTTTGATATCCTGTAATGTGATATCCTGTAATGGATAAAAAAATGTCTGAATGTTAATAACACCTTTATTTATTCACAGATTCATACATTTTTCAGGATTAAGAAGGGATGCTTCAGTGGTTTGGACTTATATGTATTTGATACGCCCTTATTAGTTGTTTTGTTTAGGTGTAAACAAAGTGTAAAAAATTGAAGATGTTTCGAATTAATGGTACACTTACTTAACTCACGAACATGCATGCGTAAATACATGGATACGAAAGAAGAAAGAGGTGTCAGGATCATGTAAGTTCGTATTCTCTGTATACTCCTCTGGGTGACGGGTGTGAGATGCATGTATGTTACTTTAACTATATTACTGATAGTAGAAGTAGCTATAAGTAACCATTAGTACCTGTTCCATGAGTTGTGCTAAGTCATTATCTCTCCGACCTCGTAGATACACAATGGCTAGGTTGAGTTTTGCAAACATCCATAAATCTCTTTCTTGTGACATCTGTAACATTTTTATTGAATTCATCATAAACAAGAAATACAAGATGTAGTTTATATATTGAATTTATCTTATACCGTTGGAAAATGTGCAGTGGTTCACACTGATGCAAACATACACAATGGTTTAAGAGAGGGAGGGAAACGAGAAGGAAATGTCTAGAATAACGCCAGTTGGTGAACCCTCAACCATCAAGTGAAAGCTTATGCGATAAGAATGGTGCAGGCTATAAAAATACTGAATCAGAGGCATGGCAAGCAGCCCCAAAAACCTATTTTTGTTGATGGGAGTCAGACGTAATCCTTCATTGACCCCTTGAGGTGGATATGCATGAGATATAACCTCAAACAAGATTTCAGCAAGTTTAGTTGATACACATTATGGAAATACTTTTTAGTAGCTGTATAAACAAAACTCTTCTGAAGATATTATATAGAAAGATCAGTAAATATCATAGTTTCTTGAAGTCAAATAAACATCTTATCTGTATATTTGAAAAAATATCTAGTTTAACTTAAAATGAAAACTAACCAAATTTTGGACATACTACCGTAAGTAATAAATTTAAATATTAATTATATCTTAATTTATTTATTTATGAACTACTCTATTATTGTAAGAGAACATATTGCTATTTTTTAAATGGGCTCTCTGCTTAGGTATTAAATTGTTTTAAAACTTACTTCAATAGCAGTAAGGAACTGTGATTCAGCGGCCTCCATGCAGTTCATGGACATTGCGTAGAGACCGAGCAGACAGTGCAGTTGAGGAGTGTGGGCCGCTGCACTGCTTGCTACAACAACGCAAATGTTACATATACATATCATTTTGCCGCTATATGAAAGACATTTTACAACTCAAAATAATTAAAAACTGCAGTTGCTAACTTGAGCAAGCGTGACAACTATGGCAAAATGTGAAGTAATCTATATAAACTATACTTGAAGCGACAGTAGCCTAATGGCAGGTCGCGGACCGCGAACTCAAAAAGATCGTGGGTTCGAATCCGCCATTCGACTACTGGCGTGAACCACTCATAACACAAGCAATTTAACCTTACTACGAGTGGTTAATATTAGTAATGTTTATAGTATTGTTAATATTCTTTTTTGATAAAAAAATAGGGGAGGCCTAAGTTCAGCGGCAGGCTTATATGTAATCAGTCTCGGATATTTGGGATTAACATTTTATATTGGATTTTATTTTAGAATGATGTTAATTAGTTAGTAGCATTCACCATGCAGGTGATATTGCCATTTGAAGAAGTTGTTCCACCTTGAAATTGTACCCCACTACTAAGGGCGCTAATATATTATCATACTGTCTACAATAATGCAAGATATTGACAAACGATCGTCAATATTTCTCATCTTAGTCTGTGATTCCTACCAATTAATTAAGCTATATTACACTGTATTATTATAGAATCTCTTGCAACGCGTGCGCCTTGCCGCCCGTCACCAGCCGGCACAGCGTCGCGTGCTCCACCTTGTTGTTGTTGTTGATACGTACCGGTGGGTGCGATGGTGAGCAGGTGCCCGGCTCGTGCGATCTCGTGCAGCGCGTGCGCCTTGCCGCCCGCTACCAGCCGGCACAGCGCTGCGTGCTCCACCTTGTTGTTGTTGTTGATACGTACTGGTGTGTGCAACGGTGAGCAGGTGCGCGGCTCGTGCGATCTCGTGCAGCGCGTGCGCCTTCCCGCCCGCCACCAGCCGGCACAGCGCCGCGCGCTCCACCTTGTTTTTGTTGTTGTTGATACGTACCGGTGGGTGCGACGGTGAGCAGGTGCGCGGCTCGTGCGAACTCGTGCAGCGCGTGCGCCTTGCCGCCCGCCATTAGCCGGCACAGCGCCGCGTGCTCCACCTTGTTTTTGTTGGTGTTGATACGTACCGGTGGGTGCGACGGTGAGCAGGTGCGCAGCTCGTGCGATCTCGTGCAGCGCGTGCGCCTTGCCACCCGCCACCAGCCGGCACAGCGCCGCGTGCTCCACCAGCGCCATGCGCAGCCGCCACGCCAGCACCGCACCGCTCCTCGCTCCGCCCTTGTTGCTGCTCTCTTCACACCCACTCGCTGTCACAACGATACGTACAATAGAATACATTAAATACATACAATAATAAGTATTACAAGAATACTTATTGAAAGTAACTTAAGAAATGTAAGCCAATATGGAGATTGACAAGCTTACTTGTTAACTAAACTCTTATTTATTTAGTAAAATCAAGAAAGAATAATTTATATCTTGAATGATATCAGCCCTTAGAGTAATTATACATATGTATGCATAGATAGGACCTACAATTCTACATGAATCGATATACTTGTCTCGATTTTTCTAATTTTATTTTCATATAAGGCAAAAAGAGACAAATCCATTGAGAGATGTTGCGAGTAATTCATGCATGGAAATAGAAACGTCAAGTGGTCATCTTTGATCTCTTTACACTAAGCCAATAAGAGTAAATACTCGTATCTTCTGATTTACTAGAAAAAATTACATCCCTATTGTAATAGTATTTACGCGCATATTAAGCGTATATTAAGCGTGCTTACAGTGAACTTCGTGTTTTATATAATAACATTTTCAGGGCCCTGTTGGGGCTGCCTCGATTTTGTAGCGCATCAGGCATGTTTGCAGAAACACGAAAAGATGACTTCTTCGCAATAATGCGTAAAAGAGTGTACTCGCTGTTGAGCAGAATACGTGGCAGCCGCAACAGTATAATGAACGTGTACGCCGAAAGATGTGACGGCCATATGCTAGATTATTGGAACGAATGGTTCAAAAGTGATTACTCATATTTAAGGAACTAACATTAGTATTTAAGGTGTGCAATGTATTACTAAAAACTTATATGGATCTATGTTTGAAATAAAAGAGTTATTATTATTTCTATTTTTATTATTTTTTCTCAGCTATGAGCTGGTAAATAAGTGGCGATTACGGGTTGAAACCAAGTAACCGGCATTGTAATAGGGGATAAGCTACATTACTGTCATCAATATCTAAATCATACAATTTTCGAACGATGCGACATGTATTTAACCTTTTGAGCGCCACGACAAAACGCATTACCGTGTCCTGTACGTCACAGCGAAAATTAAACAAAAATACCTACGAAAAAAATAGTGTTGCCAAGAGTTGATACATCGATAACACAAAATAACTTCATTTTGTTGGTTTTTTATGCAATAAATGACTCTTTATAATCTGGTATGTTTTATTTAATCTTGTGCTGTATTCCACTCTTTTTATACATGTACTTTGTACATAAATAAAAACAAACAATAACAATAAAATAATAGTAAACCACAACACTACTCTTCATCGTGATGACGTCACTGTCACGACTGGACAACAAGGGCGTAGCTGACCTTCCTTTTTGAAACTTTCTTAGAGATGTAGCCGTGTCGCACGTTGTGTATCGGTTTCGAAATCGATCTAACCAAAATATACAGAGATCGACTCAAAATATTTTATATGTCGGGGGAGGCGTAGGCCAAGTGAAGCACAGAAGAAAAGTCTTACGCTCTTATGACAATGGGAGTTTGATATGATGCTGATGCTACCAGATGATTTTGAGATAATCATAATCTTTATTGCAATCAAATGGTAACAATAGATGTGTTTTAAATAAAGTAGTCCGCATTTGAACCCAGTTTGGGCGTAACAATTATAAAAATATTAAATATTATTTTTAAATTACAATATTAGATTTCATTAATAAATTACATTATTAGATTATATTATTTTAAAATTCTGTAAATTTAATTAAATTAATAATCACAATATCAAGTAAAAAATAATTATTATTATTATAAATAAAAATAAAATTAAGTAAAAAATAATAATTGAATAAAAAAATTAAATTAAATTAGATAGGCACAGGCCGAAGTTGTCCACACAAATTAAATAATATTTGTATCAAAATATTCATTTAAATTATAGAAACATTTTTCAATTAAATATAACTTTAATTTGGATAAAACTAATGTAGTACTCGTTAAATTTTTTATGTCATTTAGGTTACTAAAAATTTTAACTAATGAGTCAGATGGACAAAGCTAAGCAAAGGTTTAAACATCTTCCATCTGAAAATAACTTAAAGTTTTAAATTTTTACGAAATCGCTGTAGTCGTTTGTGTCGGTGTACTAAAAGACACTATAGTACGTTTCTAGGGCAGGCGGAAAAAAGTACATAGACCTTTGACGATAGCATCGGGGTAGGCAATCTTTTTTGTTTAGGTTCATTTTTTTATCCTTTTATCATTACATATTTCATCAGATTGAAAGATAAGGGTGCCGAGTGCGAAGTTCTTTACAGGCCCTATGTCTATTATTATATTATAAAGAAAGAAGATTATCCTGTACCTAAATGAATTAAAAAGCAAATTAATATTAATTTAAATTTATTATTTATACATCATGAGTTATTACAATTTTCATTATTAGGTAGGTAGGTAGGTAGTTGTATAAAACATAACCACTTCTTGGCAGTTAGGTAAAAAGACGAACTTTTATTGCTAAGCATTCTTAAGCAGCCAACTTTGAAGCATGCTTAAAACTTCTCATAATAGATTGTCAGAGACACTTGACAGACTATTCATCTGTATCTATGTATTTCAGAATCATTTTCAACACACACACACACACATACACACACCCACACACACACACACACACACACACACAACAAACTAACACACACACTGACACAACTACTCAGGTATACATTTCTCCTAAGCTTCTTTCTTTCAGTTTAAAATGCATGAATAAGTGTAATATTAAGTTTAAAATGTTTATATATTTTTTTTTCTGATGTAAATCTTAGTTGATACGATTACGTAGGATGAGCGAGACTCTCCCAACACAAGTATCTTATGATTACTTTCTGGGAGGCCTCGGCAAATAGCTGTAAAATGATTTACTGAAATAAAACATTTTTATTATTTATTATTATTTTATGATGATGAAGACGTAGAAGAGTCCGTCACATTGATTATAACCTAAAATATCGGAAGTCTTCTTTTTCATATCCGTTTTAGATGGATATACGTCGCTAGACCACGTTTCTTTTACATATTTATAGATGTTTACAATCATTTTTTCTTCGGTTTCCAAATTATGCGACACTTTGCGCTTCTTTCGTGGTGACGTAAAGTCTTTATGAGATTTTCATGTCGATGGACCCGATTTCATACTAGTGATAATAATATACAAAACGTCACAAAACAAACTTAATAAAAATTAAAACAACTACTATAACCGAAAATTTTAAATCTCAAACTATCTACACGCAAGCGTATCCCAAAGCAGAATGAGGAATGAGTTTTGCTCCATCCGCTTTCTTAAATACGCACGGCGTGAGACCTATCGCAAATCGCGTCAAAACAGGTTTATTATCTCTGAATGACCACTTCCTTTAACCTACCCCGTACCTTGAGACACGCTTAGCGCATAAAATTAACGATACGTAATCTATAAAGAAATGTATGGAAGCAAAAACTGTTGTTTTGTTTTGATGCTAACATAATACTTGAGGTCAGTGTACTTTTTTCCACCTGCCCTAGAAACGTACTATACTTTAACAACTCTCTCATAATAGAAATTCTACTGAGATACGGAAATGACTTTATTCTGTTGGTGTGGGCAGGACTCCAATCTTAGAATACAAAGACGTTAAAGTAAATGATCTAAACAAACATTTTGCTATTTCTTCCTATGACTTTAGATCCTTACATCAAATCAAACACACTACTCGCATTGTCGGGTATACCGAAACCACACGAAAGGGCAAACCTTTTCATCTTTTCCTTGAGACGAAGTAGATGTCAAAAAATTCATCCTAGCCATCTCTTCAACTGCTGTTGGTAATGACGGTCTATGCTCGAGGATGATTATGCCAATTATACCTTTACTTCTTCCAATTCTTACTCATACTTCACATACACCAACGTGTTTAACAAGAAGGTTTTGCACACTCTTATAGGTTTACCTTCTACTAAAAATGTAAAACAAAAATTTGGTCGTCTTTCTTTTATAGCATTATTTTCAAGTGACGCACAGAAATATTTAGAGCTGCTACACACGTTGACAAATAATCTCGTTGCCTCTGAAGTGAACGAAGTCCCCAGAAATTGTCGAACGATTTTTGCCTCATCTCTGTCGTTAATTTCGTCGAGCAACTTAATCGGCATTTATTTGAGCAGGGAGGTTTCATTTCTTTGGCTTTTACTAGTTTCCCAGTTTGAGAAACATACTCTTTTACAGAATTTTTAAGAGCTTCTATTTACTTTTATTCCATTTATCAACATTTCGTACTTTTTTTTGCCTTTTTTGGTAGGTTCCTACAAAGAAGAGTTTGTAGAACTAGAAGATGAACTACACGACGAGCTGTATGAATAGTCAGACAATTTTGTAGCAATACAACATGATTTACACGGTCAAAAGCTTTTTCGAAATCTGTGTATATAACGTCAACCTGACCACCATTTTCCATATTATTGAGAACGTACTCAGTGAAGCAGGCAAGATTAGATATTGTAGAGCGTCTTTTCAAAAAACCATGTTGTGAATTAGGTATACCTTTTATAATAATTGGATAAATTTTATCAAATACTAGTTTTTCAAAAATTTTCGCAACAGTGCTAAGAATCGAAATTGGGCGGTAATTATCTATTTTAGTTTTATTTTTTATGAACAGGAATTATATGCGCCTTTTTCCATGAGAATGGGAAAACAGAATTTTGTAGACAAAGATTAATAAGTACAGAGATTGGGAGCTTAAACTGTCGGCGCAGGTTTTCAAGAACACAGGAGGCACTCCATCATAAGCAGCGCCTTTGTTTGAATCCAGGCTTTTAAGATACTTAAGGACAGCTTCGCGGGATACATTTATGCTAGAGATCTGATCTACACTCATATTGGGATGTTTTTTAAACTCACTTGATGGTAAAGCAGTAGCAGAAAACACGCTTTTGAAATAGTTATTAAATGCTGAGCAAATGTCCTGCCCATTACAGTAATATTTATTGTTAAAAGAGAAATTTTGAGGATAAGTGGATGTCCC